TTAAATGAGACAGCCTTGCACAAAATGTGTGGGGAGGCGGGATGGGATTGAAAGTGTATGTCCAGAAATGACTCCATGTTGAATAATTATAGGCTTTGAGTTTCCAGTATACAGAAGCTGGAGGGAAACGAGTAACTGGAATTTCCTTTGAACCAAATATATATTTGTATGAAACATGAGTATTGTTTTAAGAATGTGTACTTACTGTGGTAGTTAGGAAGCATGGCAGAGTCATGCAAGTGACATGTTTGGACAACGTGACTGGGTAATGACTGGTAATGAAATGTTGAGGACTTATAGTTTTTATTGTGTTACTGATGTTAATTGTAATGAATTTTTTACCTGTGTTAAATGTTTTTAGTGTTTAAATTATTTTTGTACTGTTGTAGGCATCGAATTGTGCCATTTTGTAAACCGCCATGAGTCGCCCTCGGGCTGAGAATGGCGGTATAGAAGCATAGTAAATAAATATATAAAATTTGTTATGTGCTGTTTACCAGATCAAACCCATGAAAGTGTAACACTACATTAAAGATAAAAAGAGATAACTAGCAGTCTTTTTTAGCCTGAAATTTGACAGCATTAGTATGGTTTTAGAATATAATAGGAGAATATATACCCCCACATGTATGTATTTAGGTGTGTGTGTGTACACATTTCCAATTATCATGGTTAATCCCATAAACATCACAAGAAGACAGCATAACATTAATTGACATTTATATTGTTGTTTGTACATTATCTTCTTGCTAGAAAGATAAACTCATAAAGCCATCTGTATTTTTAGCTTTTTATTTGGCTTAGATAAAATTTTCACCAGAACACCTGGTTAGTTAAAAATTTCACCAGAACACCTGGTTTTCAAAGCTCAACAGGGTAGTTAGTATGGGAAGCTACCAGTGAAGATCAAGTATTGTAGGATTCATTCCAGAGGAAGGAGAACACCTTTTGAGTGTTCCTTGCCAAAGAAAATGCGGAAATTCATAGGGTTGCTATATGTCAGCAGGCAACCTTAAGGAGCACACGTATACACATATCTGAAAAGGTAATAAAACATGCGCTTGCAAAGATTTAAAAATGTTTACATGTCTAAAGCAAATATAATAACTTGTGCTATTTTTATTTATTGTCAAAAAGAGTATAAAAAGTATTTTCGTAAAAGAAAAAATGCTTCTTGATATGGAACTGGAAAGTAATCATATTTTAATTCTTATTCCAGTTGGTCGTATTATCTTTCAACTATTCTCTGATGTATGTCCACGGACTTGCAAAAACTTCCTCTGCCTATGTTCAGGTAACCAAGTTTCTCATAATGGTGAATAATTGTAACTGCTTTATGAGATAGTTCAAGAGTCCACAACCTGGTGGGAACAAGAGACAAGGCCTTCTCAGTGGTGGCCCCTCGGCTATGGAACTCCCTTCCCAGGGATATTAGATTGGCCCCTTCCCTCCTTGTCCTGGCTCTGGGATCAAGCATTTGCAAATAGTGCAACATGGAATTGATATGCAGCAACATAAAGAATGACCACGGTTTTAGCTATATGGGTTTAACAGGTTTTAACAGTTTATGTATTTGTATGTTTATTTTGTTGATGTTTAATGTGTTGTATTTTATATATTTTTATATTGCAATATGGCACTGAAGTGGCCAATCTGTAAGCCGCTCTGAGTCCCGCTTGGGGTGAAAAGAGGAGGGTATAAATATGGGAAATAAATAAATAAAATTTTGACTGATTTACAGAGAGAGAGCATGGTTAATGCCCAATAACCATCCTGCTTAATATTTCCAGGATGTCATTTGCTTGACTACTTTGCTTTGCACAGATTTAGTATTCTTTATCTAAAACACCAGAAGTGTTTTGGATTAGGAATTGTGAAATACCTGTATTTGTATATATGTACACAGCTCAATAGCTTGAAGATGAGACCCAAGTCAAAATGCAAAATTAATGTGTGTTGCTTATATACATAGACTGAAGATAATTTTATACAAAGTACAAGAAAGGAGATTCCATCTGAACATTAGGAAGAACTTCCTGACTGTGAGAGCCGTTCAACAGTGGAAATCTCTGCCCCGAAGTGTGGTGGAGTCCCCTTCTTTGGAAGCTTTTAAACAGAGGCTAGATGGCCATCTGTCAGGAGTGCTTTGAATGCAATATTCCTGCTTCTGGCAGGGGGTTGGACTGGATGACCCATGAGGTCTCTTCCAACTCGTATGATTCTATGTTTTCAGTATTTTTCTGCCTGTTTCTTCTCTGCAGGTGAAAAAGGAATTGGGAAAACAACTGAGAAAAAACTCTGCTACAAAGGTTCAACATTCCATCGTGTGGTTAAAAACTTCATGATTCAAGGGGGAGACTTCAGTGAAGGTAAACTTGAGAGAAATTAAATTCCCCACTCCAGTGCCATAAAGTGGCAGGAAATAGGTTCCTAAAGCATTTTACAAAATCATCAGCTACTTTCATTTTGAAATGTTAACATTATGATGGGGTGAAGTTCCTCAAATTTTTGCAGGTCCTTAAAACTGAAATGTCTACTACACACAAAACAGAGTAATTAAAGCTTTGTATAAAGCAAATTAATTTATAAGTTGTCCAAATAGCTCTCTGCTTGTTTTTAAATAACCTTTGAAAACTCTTTCTGATGCATTCTTTTGAATTGCCTGAACCTATGGTACATCTCTGCTTGGTGTCCTCTCAGACAAGGAATGTTGTTAGATAAGGAGACCTTAAATAAGAATTAGAACTAATGTCTCCAGGACTTTGGTGTGAGTTTATTAATGTGCCCCCAATTCCTGTCATCATTAATGTGCCACCCAATTCCTGTAATCACTGCTACAAAAAGTCTGTTTTTGTCCTGAACCGAAGGCTTACTTGGAATCTAAGTGAGCAACTGTAACTAATGAAGAGTTTGCTTGATATAGGAAGTCATCTAGGTGCAGCTGCAAGTGGTTTTGAGAAAGTGAACATAATTTTTCCTTGTTCGTTAAAGAATCACAATTTTTCTTTTAATGCAAACCTTGCATGTGCATCTTTTGGTGCACCCCTACTTCTTCCTCACTCCTTTAAAGAACAGGAACAAGAGATTAGTAGGCAGTAAAAGGGCAACATAACCTTTAAAGAGTTCTCTATACCTTTGCCAAGAATAACATTGTTTTAGTGTGTGGTTCATTTGTGGTTGTGAGCATTGTAAAATGTAGATATCACTAATTTGTGATTATGTGGACAGTTCCATAGCTGTGCCAAAGTTTAATTCATATATTTTTTAAACACTAGGTAATGGAAAAGGAGGTGAATCTATTTACGGCGGATATTTTAAAGGTAAGGTCGAATCATTCTTGACTCGTTGCTTCATTTTTGGGGATGTGTCTAATGAAAAGGTCTACAATAGATGACTTCTGCATGAAAGTAACATTGCATGGATATTATCTATTTGCATGTGTTTTAAATACATACATTGTAATCGTAATGTTTATGGTCGAGATTTATTGCGGCTAATGTAGTGGTTAAACATGACTGCAGCATGGAGGCTAGGCAACTTGATTCATGACAACTCCTATCTTCCTGCCTAAAACTGTCAACATATTCTTTTGTTTATAGAGAATGTGGTCTTTTGCAAAATGAAAAGGTAAGAGACAAAAACTCAACACAAATTCAAATTGTTCCCTTGCACCCTTTTTAGTATATGGACCACCGATAACGAATTTGTGGCTGGGTAATTGTAGCTTTGGAGAGAAGCCTAAAGGTTGTTTGAGAAGATTTAAGGCATTTTTTTCTCTTTCAATAACAAAATAATTGGATTCCAAATAATTATTGCTAAAAAAAGTCTTTAAGTCTTTCCTTTCCCTAAATCCTACTCTTTCAAGGTTTGTATGGGTACTGAATTCTCCAAATATTTTTCAGCATGTACTTTCCATAGAATGGGATAAATTAAGGTATGTTATACACAAGCTCTTTCACAAATTTCATACTATCGATCATTGAGTTGTAGAACACATATTGAACCATTGTGGCACTGTTTGCTGCACACCTATGTGGAAATCCTTGGTTGGAATTACAGTGTTTGATATTCATTTTTCTTCAGTTTAATGCATGATCCAAGAGTATGTTCTAAGAACTCTTTATACAGTTAGGTGTCAGCAGATATTGGTAGCCTGTTGACAAACCCATATTCTAAAGGCTTTTGGTTCTTTCTTTTTTTCTAAGACGTTATTATGGGTAAGTACAAATAGTCTAATGCTGTAGCTGTGCTATCAAACTGTTCAGCCATAATTGCTATGAGTATATATATGAAATCTATTTTCCTGACTAAACTTAGTGTTGTTCAGTAGACTCACTACCAACCTAACATTTTCTTCAGAAAATTTAACCTGCTCATACTGTGCCTTCCTCCTGTATTTTTAATATTGTTCCCAGTTAGTAAAAGAAATGTGTATAGGCCTAACAGATTTATCACTATTAGAGCGGCTTCTAAAGAATGTGAGGGGATAGAGGGATGTGAGAATTAGTATGTGTACATAGCAAACATACTAGAATGGGTCTCGATTCATTTATATAAGCAGCAGACCGGCATATCATCAAGTATAACGTATTACTACTTGTATCATTAAGCCTGCCCTACGTATGACTAAAATTGGATCTTGCCCAATGTTTGAAACAGGTTTTATAAAGAGATGGTTTCTAGTCCCATTGTGTCAGTTCACTTCAGCCTGATAGTATGGTGAACAGTAATTGTAGGTCAATGAGGAAATTATTGCATAGTCTTTTCTCCTTCTCTGCTAACAATTGCTCCCAAAGATGTCTTAAAGAGTCGTAGAGAGCAGAAAACTTAATTCTGAACCAGCCAGGAAATACGGCCTCTTTTGCCAGGAATAAAGTGGGCTTTGGCTATCCATATATATGCTATCTTGTGATGGGCATTTTGACAGTGTCTGCTTTATTATTTTTCATCCTGTTCTATGGCACCATGTAGTACGCATATAAAGTTGGCCCTCGACTTATGAAGGTTGCAGGATTCCAGTGAAAGTGGAAAACCCACCAATATCTTAAGACCCTCAAACATGCATATGGCTCTTCTGCTGCTACTGTCACCAGGATGGCCAGGGCAGCATCTGCTTTTACTAAAGTGGTCCTTCAGTGAGTCTGGGCTGAATAGGGAATCTGAAGAGTGGCCAGTCAGCCTCCTCCTGGGCTGGACTCGTAGGCCCTATTGCCATATGTACCAGGCACAGGCAAATTTTGGCCCTCCAGGTATTTTGGACTTCAACCCTCATAATTCCTAACTGATCCCAGGCTGTTAGGAATTGTGGAAGTCCAAAACACCTTGAGGATCAAGCTTGCCCATGCCTGGTATCTACTACTACTGGAGGCTATGCCCGGAAGGACCACTTTCATATTTTGGAGGGTTTTTTTCTGCTTGTACACAAATATACACAGTAAGTTCTGACTTTCCAAGTCTTCTACTATAAAACCAGCTGCCACAGTCCCACTGCTCTTGCCTTTCTCCTGCCCCCATTATACCACCCACCTGCCCCCAGGTTCTCTTTGATCTATCCCCTCTCAGCCTCCTCCCTGAGTGAGTAAGAGTAGGAATATGCATGGCCTCCCTCTTCCTCCTCCCCTACCCACCCACCCAGGTGAGGTCATCTCATCCCCTCCTCTCTTCCCCAATTTGTGAATAATGAAATCTGCAAAAACAAAAAATATCCTCAAATGTGAAGGAATGACTATAATCTGTATTGGAGCCAATTGTAGACTAGAAACTCTCTGTTTGAAATTATGGGAAGGATAGATGTGTCTCAAAGCAGATGAAACTGGGCTTAGTCAGTGATTCCCAAACTCTGGTCCTCCAAGTGTTTCATATCTCAACTCTCAGAACGCTCAGGGTGCATCCACACAGGATGGAAAATGCAGTGGTTTTTACCTGCTTTGTGCTGAAGTAATTTGATGGCTGGAAAGATTTGGGTCTTTCAGAAGACCCGGGTATTTCCAGCAGTGGGTGCTGTGTGAATTGGGCCCAGAAGCGTGTTACATGACATCCGGTCTGAATCCACACAGCTGTCCTGGGATTTTTGGGTTTCTGGAGCCCATAAAACCCAAGACTTTCCCCACCCCTTCCCAAAATCCCTTTAAAAGCCTTAAAAAGAAAATAATAACTTAACCAGCTAGCATTTCCCTGCTGCCAGCCCTCTCTTGGCATGTAGAAATGGCGTATCAGGAGGAGGGGGGAATTGCGCCTACCCCCATTCTCCCTGCTTGCGGGCTGGTCGCAGGGTAATACTGGCCAGGTAAGTAATGTTTACTTTTAAAGGTTTTTCTGCCGGGGAAGGGGGTGGTGGTGTCTGGGTGCTGGACCTTCCGGCAGGGCATGTGGACCCCCCCCCCCCCCCCCCCCCCACCAAGGGAAGCGCAGGGATTTTTACCAGTGTGGGGACAGAAGTCTGGCTTGATCCAGGTTTTTTAAACCCAGGGCAGTTTCCTCTGTGTGGAACCGCCCACAGCTGCTTTGGCCAAAGATCAGGGATTCCGAGAGTTGAAGTCCAAAATACCCAGAAGACCAAAATTTGGGATACACTTATTTAAATGATTTAAATGTGCTGACTCAGTAAAGGATGCTTGATAAAACTTAAAGTTTTTTTATTTTTTTTATTATTAGCCGTATTATTTTTATCGATGTTGATTTGCTTGTCCAAACCCGTTCTCATTTTGGTTGTGTGCATTGCTTTTTTAAAGTTTAAATTTCTCTGGTGAAAGGTCGGGCAATCCCTGCTTGTTAGTGACTGATATTTTGGACATATGTAATCAAGCAGAAACTAACACCCATCTCTTTTCTTTTGTTTCTTTGAAACAGATGAGAACTTTATTCTGAAACATGATCGGGCATTTCTTTTGTCCATGGCAAACAGAGGGAAACATACCAATGGTTCCCAATTCTTCATGTAAGTTGATATAAATTGAGATTTGAGGGGGTTTTTTTTCCAGTGGAGAAGCGCTGTTCATGAGAAAGATGGTATTGCTAAAATCAAGTTGAAAGTGAAGAAGAATTTCTTCTTATTTGCTCTTCTAATTAATACGAGAAAAAACCTTAATTTTGTAGGTAAAATGTTTGTGATGGAACAATATTAAATCTTTAAAGAGCATAACATAATACGTCAAAAGAATTTCAGTTCATTATTGAGATCTTAGTTCCTAAAATGAGACAAGAATAGTATCCTAGAATATTCAGCTATGAACTCAGGGAATACATTTCAGAATGGTTTCTCCTTTAGCTTTTCTACTCCCTGATTTGTATGCCCTTGGTGAAGGTTTGAAAGATGGAGTTTATGATAGTTGCATGCATAGAATCATCTTCAAGATCTCTTGACTGCGTGAGTGTTGAGAGGGAGCTGGCAAGAGTGTTCACACTCCACATGTTCACTTAGTATACATAGAGAAAGTTCTGAAAAGAGCTAGAGTCAATACGAATTATGTGGACTTTACGCTATGTCACAGTGTACTAGATCATGTTGACCAAAAGCGATGAGCAAACATTAGGAAATGGTATTTTTGGTCAGAGAGTTATTTTATTTAAGATGTTGTATCTAGGGCAGGCATGGGCAAACTTGGGCCCTCCGGGTGTTTGGGAATTCAACTCCCACAATTCCTAACAGCCTCAAGCTCTTTGCTTTTCCCCCTCAGCCACTTAAATAGCTAAGGGGAAAAAGGAAAGGGCTTGAGGCTGTTAGGAATTGTGGGAGTTAAAGTCCAAAACACCTGGAGGGCCCAAGTTTTCCAATGTCTGATCTAGGGTTTATCATTAAACTTCCATTTTATAATAAAGCACATGCATATTAAAACTTTTGTTGTGCAGTTTGAATATCTTGACAAGTTTTCAATCAATACACTTAATGGCAATAAAACACACAAGTGGTTTTGATATCCAGAATTATATTCTAAATCCTAGGTACCTGCTAGGCTGAAGGTGACAAATTGTCTTCTAAGTGATTCTACTTGATTTTATTAGTGTGTTTCAATATCACCTGTTTTGTATTAAATACCAGAACTAGCATTTTACAAAAATATAAGCTTTATTCACTGTAGTTTTGCGTTTGAGGAGTGAGAAGTTTGATTATTTCTAAGCTGATTTGCTTCACTCAGATATTTGTAACCTTTGCCATCTTTCTTAGTGGATGGGAATGAATGGCGCTTCATTGCCTTGTTATAGGAATTATCTTATCTCTTTCTGTCTGAAGAGAGCTCTCTCTACTGTGATCAGATAAGTTCAGATAAGAGGCATATTTAGGTTTCTTCCTAAAGAATGTCCCAAAAATGGAAAATAAATATAAACATGAGGGGAAGAATCTGTAATTTGTTTTCCTTCCTACTTCATTAGGAAATTAAATGCAGGCTTCTAGTAAATCTCTTGTGTAGTGTAATAGAAAAGTAGCTCCTTTCGAAACTTCAGCCTGGCAATCATAATATCTTCAATAATAAACAAAAACAGTTTGTTCTTGCTACCTTCTTCTTTGCTCACATGTTTCCATTTTTAAGCTTATCTGAACAAGCAAAATAACACTTGCAACCGAGAAAGTAAATTGTTCAAGAAGCTACCAAAGGGCTCTAAAGTTTCTTTGACATTACATTGCAATATATGAGTTGGAACTGGATCAGTGGGAGTGGCATCATGGGCTATATCATAATGGCCTAACTTTTAATTTTAAAGGTAATGCAGGAAAGCTTAAACAGTTGGCACAATAGTGTTAAAAGTGTTAAAAGGGTCAAATAGTTCATCCAATTGCCACTGTTCAGGGGAAGGTATTTTTCAATAGACATGTTGGCTATAGAACAGACATGGGCAAACTTTGGTCCTCCAGGTGTTTTGGACTCCAAATCCCACAATTCCTAACAGCCTCAGGCCTTTTCCTTTTCCCTTTCCGCTTAAGCAGCTGAGGGGGAAAAGGAAGGGGCTTGGGGCTGTTAGGAATTGTGGGAGTTGGAGTCCCAAACACCTGAGGGCTGAAGTTTGTACACACCTGCTATAGAAAGTACTGCACATTGAATATATAAACTAATTTTGTGCCTCTTTTATTTCCAAAACCATAACCTGAAAAATAAAATGAAAGATGTACAGTTGATGTAGAGTGCAGGTTCTATATCCATACAATTGTTTACTTTGTATTGGGTTGCCAGTGGATTGAGCATGCTTGAAGTGTTAATATTTGTGATTTGTGTTTGAAAGGATTGGGTACTAGTCAGCAGAAGTTTAAAGGCAGTGAGTGGAATTTGCTGCACACGTTTTTCCTGGTGTCTCTTTGTGCCATCTCTATTTTGGGAATTATTACAATTTTAATATTAGAAAGCTGCCCCCCTGAAGTAGCAGTTGGATGTTCAGGAGCTAAATGCACTAGAACCTTTGGGATCATGTACTCAGTAGCTTGGCAGAATCACACATCGGAAGCATTACTGATGTCTTGGCTATGGAGGGAACATAGTGGATATTTATTTATCGTGCCAGAAGCAAGTTAAGAGTACAGTTAAAATGCATTTAAAAACAAAGATTTTTTTTAAAAAACTTGTCATTATGCTAAATGTCATTGGACCAGAAGCTGGCCACTTGGAGTGCCTCTGGTGTTGTGTGAGAAGGTCCTCCATCGTGCATGTGGCAGGGCTCAGGTTGCATTGTAGTAGGTGGTCTGTGGTTTGCTCTTCTCTGCACTCGCATGTCATGGACTCCACTTTGTAGCCCCATTTCTAAAGGTTAGCTCTGCATCTTGTGGTGCACAAGTTTACTCTGGCACCACAACATAGTGGATGAGGATTGAGTACCTTTGCCATTTACAGCCACCTCAGCTATTCCACACTCCATAAAATACACAGATTGTTGCCTTTTTAGCCCAGATGATAAACCAAACTTCTAAACACCATCTTTTTCTTTTTGTTTTGTTGTTCTTTGGCAGCAGTTGGTGCTTAGAAACATTGAAGTAGCTTCTTCGTCTGTTTGCATTTCTCCTTCATGTCCATAACCTTAATTATGAACCCAAGCCAAAATGACAAATACAAAATAGTGAGAAAGAGAAACACCCACGTATCCACGTGGGAAGACAGATTTTGTCTTAATGTTAGTCAAGCAGGAATTTCATAACATAATGCACCACCGCCCCCATAAGATTCAGAAATGTTCATTCTGATCTCTACTATTAAAAGAAAAGTTACAAACAGAAAGATTATCTGGGGCCCTTTAGCTCATGATCCATTGTCACTTTTGTTGTTAGCTGTTATCAAGTTGACCTCCCAAGTTATGGTGACCTCACGAATGTCTGGCTTTTGATTTAAGTTTCATCTCTGCCATAGGCTATTTTATTTGTGGGAAAGCAATTCATGGAATAGTTGTACCACAAGCAAGAACTTAAGCATAGATTATGCTTTGGTATAATGAGGAAGAGCCTTGGCATGTCTTGGTTTTGGGCACATCCACTTTTCTCTGTTTTCCTGGGAAGACATAAGCAATATTTTTTTCAACACAGCTACATCTGAACCTTAAATTGATTGCTGTGAATGGTAGTTAAGGAAAATAAATCATCATAACCATGTTTTGAAGTGGCTTGTTTCCACTAACCAGTGATAAGATTAACCATGATTGGTTAAGATTGGTAAGATTAACCAGGATTTGTTTACACCAAAGCTGTGGCTTGACTCAATTTAAACTAAAAACTTCCACCCTGCTTTTTCACACAAGAACATGTGGAAAGCACCCAAAGTGAAGATCTGTTTTCCACTCATTCTCACAAAATCAGATTGCAGTATAGTATTGCATTTAGACCAGAATCAATGCTCTACAATAGGAATGGCCTGTGTAGCTCAGTAGTGGCTAGGTTTAAACCTTCCAGCTCTTTTTGTCGTCCAGCTCTATCCAGTGATGAGAGACAGTGGGAATTGTCATGCAAAAACATCAGGAGGGTTTCAGTTTCCTAGCCCTGGGCCTTTGAGCACACAGTCAGCAGTCTATAGACTAATAACAAAGTTCTTGATTATATCATGAGACCAAGACAAATCGAGGTTGAAATTGAAGCTCACAAATTGAAGCTCACAAAGACAGGATAGTTTTTGTTAGGAAGGTTTAGAAGGAAGCGGGCTAAACACCAGTTGACTGCACCCATAGGAAAGTTTTCATAGTCCTTTGTCCACTCACTTTTTGGGAACTTGAGATAGTGATGTTCAACAAAATGAAGGTGGCGATATTAGAATGAAAAAATCATCCCTTTGTGAATGGTGGCCTTGCCTGTTCATCTGCGTGGCTGTTACAATCCTGGGAAATGTCCTGTAAAAAAAGTGTGTGTGCATTAACCCCATAGGGATGTTTATCTCTCTTGAACTGGACTGCAGTATTTGTGATTATACCAGAATAACACCTTTTGAGTGTTTTGGCCATGTTCCACAGCATCAAGCAGCCAGTCAGAGGACAGCTAATGGAGAAGGCTTCCAAAGTACTTGTTGTTGCAGCTTGAACAGAAGTGTACTTTCATAAGGAGCAGGATTAGAAAATTCATCTGCATTCATACAAACCTCTGTGATGCTTAGATTGACCAGCCAAGTATAGTTTTTAAAGTAGACTGCTTTTGACATTTGTTAACAATAGTCAAATGGAAGTTAAAAGCCACAAACATAATTTGATGTTGCTTATGTTGTGTTAGTTAATATACAGTGAATTTTAGGTAGTGTACGTCTCCTCTTTCCTTCATGCCCTCAAACATTTATCACTGAATTAAGAATCTCCTTAGGGACAGTGTGGTGTAGCGATTTGACTGTTCGACTATGACTTTGGAGACAAGGGTTTGAATCCCTGCTCAGCCATTTTTTGTGTCCAGGGACCACTCTCCAACATTAGTACCGAAAGGGTTACAAATCATATTTTCGTCAACTTTGGATTCGGTTTGGTTATTTGGGGTGCTGATTCAGAAAA